CACTGTTAGTTATTCAGTTAGTACTTATTTTGAAATTTCCCCTAAAATGATGAATGGTTTTGTCCATATTGAAAGATGGACAAGTCCATCAGATTTTAAGCATGGAAACTAGAAAATATGAAATAAATCATCTAAAAGAAAGGGTATGATGAAATAAAAACAAACTTGTACATTTTGTACTCTCTTCTGAATAAGTTATCATTTAATATTTACAGATCCATTACTCTACCATCATATCACATATATTACCATTCACAGCTTACAGCAGACGACAATTGGAAAACATGACAAACTTTTACGAATGGGTATGAGACTTTTATCGTTTCCATCACAAACTCTAAAATTGTCAATATGCACATAAAGATATAAGCCATTTTTAAGCAAATGAAATTGTATTATTTACATAATTTCACACTTTAAAATGTTTATTTCAAATTTGAAAGGTGCAATACAAACATAAAATTTTAACATAAAAAACAAACCTACTATGAAAAATAAAAACAATACATTTTCACTAATAGTACACTTCATCTAATAAACAAACTAACATACCAATCTATTTTTACAATTTAAAATAAATAGCATGCATAAACCAATGTGTTATAAGAAAGGCCTTATATTTGAATCAATGCAAACAAAACTTTAAAGTATGATAAATTATGCTATTTGTGCAGTGACTCGACATGTTATATATAAACATACAAAAATTAAACATTTTTACGAGACTAAAATCGTGATTATCAGTAAGTACTTGGGAGTACATGTATAAGCTAATTTCTTAACACTGTTTTTTTACGCGGCATTAAATGACTAACTGAAGGTTTTGTGACTAATTGACCATGCTAGCATTGTATTATTATATCAGAAATTACTAGAACTTGACTGACTGAACTCATTGTTCAAGTTTTCACAGTACTTTATATCAAGTTCACATACATGCTGCAGCACATTTTAAACATTGGTATAATCGGGTCGTTTTTGACAAAAATGACCACATTTAACAAAATTTCTAGACATGAGTGTAGATCTAATGCCTAATTTATTAGACCAGTTGAATAAGAACATAGTATGACTGCCTGGACGAGCAATAAACTGCGTTATGAAGCGTTACGAAAAAAAAATTCCATATATATCACAAATAAAAATTATGACCAGTAAAATAAAAACAATATTTTCATTGATGTACTCGTAGTACAGCGAAGTCATAAGACGTCACGTCAAAATCTATGCATGACCGTGCCATATCGTTTTTATTATGGCGTCGGAAAAGCGACACGGGTATGTAATACATGTAATACATAATAATGAAAATAGACCAGGCTAAATGCTATATATACAATGCTATGTAACAAAGTAAAACCCACGCACCCACTTGTAACATCACTTACATAAACTCGACTCATCTTCATGAATAATACAAATTAAGTCTGAATAAATATGATAAGTTTTCCTGTTAAAATGTCCTCTAGTAGTTCTGCTTGACTTCTCTACCATTACAGTATGCTTATTACAATACATGTATATAAATGTACTATATTATTTAAGTTTTATTTCTTTGGCTTACACATTCTAAGGGGCCAAGTTTTTTTTAAGGTGCCTGCTTCTTATTCCAAGGATCGTGTCTTCGAAACTTAGTTGAGTCCCAATCACGTTTCCTTATAAAGCACTACGCAGGCTCGAACATGTAAAAAACTTGTTTCCTTATTGAGCATGTGTAAATAAGTTTATATTGACGCAAAAATAAAGCAGTAAATAAATATTTTAATTATATTACCCTCATCTCAAAAATATTTTCAAATTATCCGTTACTGTTAGAAAATTAGACTGTGAAACTAATTAATCAATGTGTAAAACTGTAGTTATTCTCGTCTATGTGTACAAAAATAAATTACTTTCCTTTCCGCTGTAAAAGTACTATCGGAAATAGAGAATACGCAACTACAAAAAAAATACAATTTTTTTTAGGGTTTTCAAATAAATTGCTCAATACAATATAAAATATATAAAATGCGTTAAAATTATAAAATTGATTTTAATAAGCCCTTTCTTTTCCTAATACAAAACACATAAATTGAAAATTAAATACTCCAGAAAGATTATACTCCAAAATTCGAATTTAATCATAGTAAGTGCAATCTAAGCCGATTGGAATTGGCTTATCATTTTCATGTCATTTTATACAATAAAATTATTATTCTAGGAAAAAAATGAGTGAACGACTGATCTGAACTATTTTACACAATTATTGATATAGCCCTACATAAAAATCCTCAGTGGAGTCTCTATGGTATTGACATAAAGTTATAATTCTAGAAATCAAAATCTTAATCTATACATCAAAAACTCAGTGGGATATATATTATTCATACACTTCAACACTCAACTGTTGACTTTCATAACATGTATAATGAACACAATTATTGGAAAGTATATACATGTGCATGTAATGTGCTACTGGTGATATATACATCGGAGATTCAATAAATGCACGGGTATACGAAAATCTATAATTGTCTATCACAATATATTTTTAAATATCTAGTACCATTAAGAGACTTAATAAGTAAGACAGTACAATTATTTTAAGATGAATAGATAAAATACATTTTACAAAGAGAATATTTTGATGTGACTTGAGACCACAATAAGCATGCAAATGTGCAAGTGATAATGATGATATTTCACATGGTATTTCCGTGCATCTATCAAATCTCCAGCAAAACATGAATTAGGCACTAGTATTTACATTGATTTCCAGATTAGATTCAACCGGGTAAAATGACTAGTAAGTGGCAATCTTTAACATGTTTTAACGCTAATTCCCGTGTTTCGCTAGCGTGACAGAATACTCAATTACCGCTATCGTGACAGAAGACTCGAGTTCCACTATCGTGACAGAAGTCTAGTTTCCGCTAGCGTAACAGAAGACTCAAGTACCGCTAGCGTGACAGAAAACTCGAGTTCCACTATCGTGACAGAAGTCTAGTTTCTGTTAGCGTAACAGAAGACTCAAGTACCGCTAGCGTGACAGAAGACTCGAGTTCCGCTAGCGTAACATAAGACTCAAGTACCGCTAGCGTGACAGAAGACTCAATTACCGCTAGCGTGACAGAAACCTCAAGTACCGCTAGCGTAAAAGAAGACTCAATTACCGCTAGCGTGACAGAAGACTCAATTACCGCTAGCGTGACAGAAACCTCAAGTACCGCTAGCGTGACAGAAGACTCAAGTACCGCTAGCGTGACATAAGTCTAGTGTCCGCTAGCGTAACAGAAGTCTAGTCTCCGCTAGCGTAACAGAAGTCTCTTGTTCCGTTAGCGTAACAAAAGTCACGTCTTCTGCTGGCGTGACAGAACTCACGTCCTCCGCTAGTGTAACAGAACGCTTATAACCGCTAGCGTGACAAAATTCTCGTTTACCGCTAGCGTAATGAAATTCTCGTTTCCGCTAGCTTGATAAACTTGTATAATGCACAGAAATTATCAAAGCATTTCTGTAAAATATTGATCGATGGTTGTACAATTACTTAAATGGAAGAAGAAACAATCCTTAGTATAAAAGTAACAACTAACAGATATCGCTATTGTCGGCATTATTTCTCTTCTGCTTACATCTGTAGAATCGAAACAGCACACAATTGTTTTGTTATTTGAAAGATAAGTACATGTATTCCATGCTTGTAAATTTAATCAAATTAACAGTAAGAGTAGCAATTCGTAATTAAACTTAACGGTTAATCATCATAAACGTTTTTCTTTTTTAAAGTGAAAAATCAAAACATTATTTCCTACTGTTTTTTTACATTTACCAGCTAACAACATACATTTGTTATTTATTTATTATTGGTGGCTTTTGTCACAAGTATATACCCAGGTCAGCCTGTACGACCCAGGCTCTCTACCATTGGCAGACTAACTTGGTATCTCTAAATTGAAAATCGACAATTTCAAGAACGGGGATTGGAAAGTCCATTTAAGAAAACTAGCAGATGAAGTATAATATATCTACATAAATACAAATAATGATGATTTTTCCAATTTGTCATTTAAAGTTCTGAAACTCGCCGCTATCTCAATAAACTACAGTTAAACTTCGTTTGCTCGAACTCGGATCGCTCGAATACCTCCCTTCGCTCGAACTCATCGCCCAGTCCCGGCAAAATTCCTATATAATATATACTGTTCTACCTCGGATCGCTCGAACACCCATCGCTCGAACTCTCGAACCTGATCTCCGGTCCCTTCGGCAGGAATATAGTGTAAATCACACCTTTTCGGTCGAACTCAAACAGACAACGGGTCGACATGTTCTAAATAATTGACAGTCGGCGACACATGTTTTTAACACCTCGTGATCGTGACAAAGGCAATTATGGTTAATTGATACAAAATAAAAGGTGTTTTACCGATTTGTTTGTTATGATAAAATTGTTTATTTGCCGTCTTTAGTAACGATAAAAAGAAAGTAACTCCTGAAATGCCCAAAGTAAATAAATAAGTAAATGACGTTTACCCGGACGGCTTTAATTACAACCGTGGTTCATGTAACGTGAATTGTTACAGTGTAATCTACGTGTGTTTATTTTAGTAAATGACTACAAATAGATGCTGCTGTAAAATGTTGTGTTTTAATATTTTATCGATTCATTGTTTAAAATAAAATTCATCCCATAATAAACTTGAACACTGTTCACAGTTTTTAGATAATGATCGCCCGATCGAACTCAACCAATTACAATATGCATGAATATAGATTAACACCGTGCACCGTTAATAGTGTTTTCAATAGGATAATAATTCTTAATATGACGTATTCGACAAACAGATGTACTAAAAAACAGTTATATTGACGTATTTATCATTTGACCGATATAAGCTGAAAAACCTTAAGCCTTTGTTCTATGTAATTATTGTTCAACCTCGGTTCGCTCGAACTACCGATCGCTCGAACAAATTTGCACAGACCCTCCGAGTTCGAGCGAACGAAGTTCGACTGTACTATGAAGAAAGTACAAGAATACAAAAAATAAGTGATCGCATACATTTCTGATGTAAATGATGTCTTTTCAAGAAACACACATAATTCGTGAATGATAAAAAAAGGAAAAAGAAAATGTGATGATGTCTAAATTAAAAAAATGTCATTATATAAACGAGTTTACCATATACAGTGTAACCTCTACAGAGCGCCCCCTTGTAGAACAATCATCCCTTAACATCAACAGTATCAACTCCTCGAAAAAAGAGACTTCGATATAAATTCAGCCTCTCCAGAGTAACACCTCTCTACAACAACCAAGATCTTTGTCTCTCAAACAGTGTTCCTCTACACAGGTTTTACAGTATGTCTCTTTATTTTGTATTATGGCCATATATAAACAACGAGATGGTTATGAGAACATGTATGAAATAATTCACGTTTTTAACGTCGAATTTCGTTATCTATAGATGATAATCTTTATCATACCTGGCTTTTGCAAACATATGAATGAATCTTTATCTCAATCTAAGAATGGCTTTGATAAGTGTTAAAAATGTTAATGGGACATTTGAACATGTTACATAGCTGTGTCTAATCGGTTAATTGCCATATAACCTGTCAAAATCTCTAAAATTTATAATATATGAATCAATGCCCATTGGTCTTGTCAAACATGGAAATGAATTCAGTTTATTTAGAACGAAGTGAGTAGAAGAACCAACATAATTGTTCAAAAGACAGGATGAAAAACAACAAAAACAATACACCCTGTCCTTGAACAATGTTTTACAGTAAAAAAAAAACCAAAAAACTTTCATCATTTCGCTTACTTATTAACTTTTTTTTTAAAACTGTTACTTCCCGGATAACGGAATAAAATTGTCTTGTGAAAAGAGGACTTAGCCAAGACAGTGGCCTGTTAGTAAAAAAGTTTCGATGAAATAATCATTGAAGATTTTACAAAATTGATTTGCGTCGTTTACAAAATAAAGCACCAAGTGAATATGGGTCGCCTTTCTGGTGTAATACTGACAAAAGCACCAAAGTTACCGGAAAAGATAATATGCGCATGCGTGACTTTTAATGATATTATCAAAATTGGCTATTATTTTCAACTTTTCACATCGTCATGTCCATTTGAAAGCATGGGAGTCTTCTCATTATCACCGTCAGTTTTCGTTTCCAAAGTTTCGCTCTTTGATGATGTGACTGAAACATCGCTTCCAGAAGCATTTCCGTTTCCGGTCGGCTGTATAAGACGATCAGTTTCCGAGTCTTCTGCTTCATCCATATACTTTATCTCACTTGCTGGTCTTGGCTTTGGGGGTTCTATAAATGTAAAAGAAATAAAGTCGAGCGAACGAATAGTCTTAATGGAAACAATTTTTCAAATCGTTCCTTTTCTCATCTTACAATGAACACTAAGCATTTTTAATTTGAAACCAGAATTATTTTTCTTGGACTTTTTAATACATATTGACTGTTACAATGTAAAATGAAAATCTCACTTATGATCTCTATTCTTTCATTATGTTTTCCTTATTTTTTAGCTTTCCTACATAATGAAAAATTTTAACTTTATAACAAGAATACAAAATCTGTCAAAAGAATAAAAACTCAACAAAAATAAATATAAATGATGGCTCAAACGATGATGACACCTAAATAAAAAAATGAAATAAAGAAAACTAGAAATGTGTCCATAGGACACGGATGCCCCCACACGCCACTGTTCTGTCAATCTTATGACTCTAGGTCAAATATTTTTTGGACTACATGTGCCACAAGTTGAAAACTAAAAATCAACAAAGGGCCATAATTCTGTAAAATTTGGTCGCAGCAAAAATTCCTTCCTTTACTACCATCTACACATTAAGGTTGTTAATCCCTGGAAGTTTAAGTAAAATCTGCCATCCGGTTTAAGAGGAATTGCGTTCACAAAATTTCTACATTATTAGTATATAATGAAAAAATCAACAAAGGGCCATAATTCTGTTAAATTTGGTTGCTGCAAAAATTCCTTCCTTTACTGACATCTACACATTAAGGTTGTTCATCCCTGGAAGTTTAAGCAAAATCTGCCATCCGGTTTAAGAGGAGTTGCATTCACAAAATTTCTACATAGTATATAGTGAAAAAATCAACAAAGGGCCATAATTGTGTAAAATTTGGTCGCAGCAAAAATTCCTTCCTTAACTACCATCTACACCTTAAGGTTGTTCATCCCTGTAAGTTTAATCAAAATCTGCCATCCGGTTTAAGAGGAGTTGCGTTCACAAAATTTCTACATAGTATATAGTGAAAAAATCAACAAAGGGCCATAATTCTGTTAAATTTGGTCGCAGCAAAAATTCCTTCCTTTACTACCATCTACACATTAAGGTTGTTCATCCCTGTAAGTTTAAGCAAAATCTGCCATGCGGTTTAAGAGGAGTTGCGTTCACAAAATTTCTACATAGTATATAGTGAAAAAATCAACAAAGGGCCATAATTCTGTTAAATTTGGTCGCAGCGAAAGTTCCTTCCTTTACTACCATCTACACATTAAGGTTGTTCATCCCTGTAAGTTTAAGCAAAATCTGCTATCCGGTTTAAGAGGAGTTGCGTTCACAAGATTTCGGGACGTACAGACGGACGGACTGACGGACGGACTGACAGACGGACGGACTGACGGACGGACGTACGGACAAGTGCAACGCTATATGCTCCCACATTGTGGGGGCATAAAAACACAATTGAATAAACAAGTACATTAATATGGTATATATCTGTTTGTCGAGGTATCTGTATTATATATGGCATTTCCAGTTTCTAAAACAGTACATAAGCATATGTTCTTTCTGTGTCTGCTATTTCACGGCATCATTTCTATATACATTAGGGAGCACCATGCTGATTTTCCATAATCAACTCGGAAACAATAAGGATTAAAAGTAGTTCTACAGCGTGAACTTGAAGATAAACTCAGCACGTGTAACCTTTTAGCAACGGGATACTTTGAATTAATTTTAAACATCACTGACAAACAAAAGATCTCAATCAATTTAAAACTTCCACCAACATTTAAATCATTGTAAAAAGCAGATGTAAAAAGTTGCCCATAACTTCATCCCAGTGTTGTAATATTGTTTTCTGGTCCTACAGGATCCTTGAGAGCAAAGATAACCCCTGAACTGTTTCTGACTGCTTTACATTTTTCAGCCACAACCATGAACACTTCAGTCAGGACTTGCAATAATTTATGCCCTTGCTTTTTATAACACTAAGAAAACTCATTTATTCGAATTTCACGTGGCCGAACTACTTTCAATCCTTATCTGTGGATAATCGCGAAGTTTTCCGAAACGGCTACGTGATCTTTCGAAGTACGGCGGAAAGTGCCGGAAAGATGCGATTACTTTAAATAATGACTATTTTACTATTATATTGAACAAATTTAGGATACAAAGATATTGATCATGCAGACATAGAAAGCAAACAAAATATTCTGACTCTCGCTAAATGTCCAAAATCTAATTAAATAAGTTTATTATGCAGCCATTACGGCCAATTGGAGTATGCCTGTACAAATATGTATAAAGGTTATGTTCTTTTGTTTTCTTTTTTTTTTAACAAGTCAGCTAACTACATTGATGCTTTCTATGGGTTGTTAATGATCCCCTGTTCTTGCTTGTTTCCTAAACTAATTCTTTGCTGAAGATAACAAGATAAACAAAATGTAAGATCTATTAGTCAATATACAATCATAGCCAAATATTACGATAAATTATTGTAATACAATACTGCAAGCCAACATTTCCTTAAATGAAAGAAACCAACACCAAAAGGGGAGCACTGAAAGAAATAAACAAACAAACACAAGGCTCCTTGTAGCTTATTATTGATCATGTGAATATATGTGCTCTTTTAAAACATGTTAAATAATCACAGTAGATAATCGAAATGACTGTTTCCTGTCTTGTAAGCGTATACAAATTAATGTGTACCCTGTCTTGCGATCACAGGGGCATGTTACAAGCTTTCCTTGGAGCAGGCTTGAACAAGAAGTAGACTTGTTTATTACTGTGATAATAATTAACACTGAGAGCAGAACAAACTTTTTTCTAGACGTTCATTTTAGAAAGGTTCTTGCGAGGTTTTGTCAAAATTGATAAAATAGAGATAATTTTACCAATGACGATGATGGGCGATGTATTCCGGACGTTGAATGCCGCCAAAATGCACACTATATTCACAGAAGCTACAAACGAAAGCCTTTATGTAAGTGAATTCAATATGTAATGAGTTATTTTGTTGATGTTAATAAAGCCCATGCAGCCGGTAGTGTCTGAAAATGATGACAATGTTAGTATTAGTTATCCCCGAGTATAAATAATCTCTGACTTTGATAATTCTGTTTGTTTAATCACGAGTTTGTTAATCATCTCGCCTTCAAAAAGATGAGGGTTCGGACCACTTCGGATCACTTCGGACATAATGATGATGCAGTTTATCCGAGTGACCATGACTCAGATGATATGTGCAGACGATACCACAACACTCGGATAATGCAATCACTACGTCATTACTTACGTAAGATGAGAGATCCTGACGAGGAATGACGAGATATACTGAATCCCGCCCACTCTCCTTTCCTTTTTACTGCAAATTATACACACGTTAAAATACTATCACTATATAATATTTAGTACTAAAAGGATGATCTTAGTGAATCTATGTTATGCTATTTACAGTAAAGTTAGAAGAAGTTTCATCAACATGGCATTGCAAGAGATGTGGACCTACATGATGTAGAAGGCAGTGTATAGTTTTAAAGGTGGTCAAATTAACGTAAAGATTTTGAATATTTGAGAATCGAAATATTTATTTTTACCTGATTTCAAGTTCCAGTAATTATGGAATGTGAAAAAGATGTGTATTGACGCTTTATTGTAAAATCCATAATTGTTTTAGAAGCAAGTAACAATGCTATATGATGTTATTGTTATTCTTAAATTTTTCACTCTTTGTCATTAGTTTTCTCGACAAGTACAATGAAATATCTAGAACTCTCCATAGGAAAGAAAACATAGGATTTGAACACGTAGTATCAATGATGTGCGGTGAAATATATATATATGTTAACTATGATATGCTTTTAATTCAATGTGCCTGGCTTGTGAGGTATTGATTGTGACGCCAAGAAGCCTTAAAATATGCCCGCCCCGTAGCATGTATTGTCATACAAGAATCAGATCCGTAGAATCTTATCTCTAATACTCAAATACTTAAATGTCATTTTTAATAAGACTTAAAAGCTAGATCATTACATATTTTGCCTTCATATCGTGTTTATATCTTGGGGAAAATTATTGCCAGAGTAATGACTAACGTTGTGTTTTACTAACACGATCACCAACAACAGACACTGGGACGTTACATAACTGACATACAGAGTAACGCACAATCTATTCACCATGGCAACAAATACATTACATCTAATATACACATTCATAATATTCAACTGTTAGATGTTATATTAATATTTTAACAATAGCCTATCTATTTATCTATCATACACACATTTACTGCTTTTCTTTAAATTTATTAAAGCATGTATATTGACAACGGGTATATACATTGTAGTTTTAAGTTTAGCTCTTTACCTGGTATTTCACCTTCGTCAGTAGGTGGTATAGCAGATGTCGTCTGCACTGTTTCTCGTTTGATTGGCTTCGTGTAAACCGGGTCGGATCCTTTCTCCGGATCAGCTGTATTTCCGTTAACTTTAGCATTTGCGGGTATTTCGTCATAGATTCCGGCCTTGTTTCGTGTACGACCCGCAGAATCCTTGTAGTCAACACCACTACATTCTACCGGAGGTTTTCCATTAAGTCTTTCAGCCTGTTATGAATTGAACAAAATTTGTATTATAAATAATCAAACCATGATAGTTCTTTGCAAATAAATATATTAAAAACGTCAATTGTCTTGGATCGAATATTTCGGATAAACACCACTTTAAAGTAATGTCAACTTCTATTTAAAATTAATAAAGGAAATGACGTCATCTACTTTATATGCAATCAAGCTACTTCGCAATGTTTCATAGATTGTTTTTCATTTTGTTCATAAATGGGTATTTAGGAATATTTTGTATATCAAATATATGGTTGTTTACCTCTAATACATTGAACGTTCTTTCTCGGCGACCGTTCCAGAATTTACTGGCCAAGAAACCAAGGATAAAGAAGACGAGGGCTGCAACTAACCCGACAGTAACGACCACACCTATACTTGTACCACCTGACTCTTCTTGCACGCGCTGGAATACAAACAATAATCACTAAATTAAGATAAAGCTCATGTGTCGGGAACAATGTCAAAAAGAAAAATGCCCATTAACACATATTCTGAAACATTAACTTATACATGAAAATATTACACCAGAAGCCTTAACAAGAAAACAATGATTTCCTTGAAAGGATTGCAAATAATGTATGATTATTTCTAATGCACAAAAATTACTGTTTTCAAACAAACAAACGAACACAAACAGACAGACAAACAAACGGGAATAAGGAGGGACATGTATTTATCACTGCATTGTCTCTTGCACTAAATTTAGAAATTACAGTATTGTAAAGACTAAGTCGTAGTAATAGAGACATAACATTTGCAACGTGCATGACATAAACTAAACTCAATTAGCATGATTATCAGTAAATAATAATAATAATAATAATAATAATAATAATAATAAAATAATTATAAGTATTTTCCATGTTTTTTTCCATATTTTATTATATGCCTGAATATTAAGGAGGATTGCTTTTTGAAGGAGGTAATACTTTAATTAATTCCCATGTCTTACAAATGCTTCATCCTTACTAAAAAACACTTTCGGGTATATAATGCTCCACCTAGCGGTGCTCTTGTTTAGATTTGCAAACATAACGTAAAGATCAAACCCTTCAAACACACGGCAATCTTTGTGTGTCAATTTGAATTTTATGCAAATCATTGTGATGCTGTATATTAAGATATGTCAAAGGCTTAATACAAGAAACCAGTCTTAAAGCTGCTCATCTCATGATGAGTGAATTAAAAAAAAATAAACTTAAGGAAATTATTTTAAAAGTTTAAGATACATGTATGTATAATTACTCAAAGATTAATTGACAGTTTGTATGTTTTAAGATATGACAAATTTTACCATTTTTAATTTCCTTATGCCACTCAGTCACTCACGAAATAAGAGTTTTATTTACATATTTTGATATGTTATACATAATTGATGTGGGTGATAAGTGCCTTAGGCTTCAACTACTTTATTTTTACACTTATTATTTTTTTTTGAAATTAACACACTTCTGTTTTTGTAAGATTGAGCAAGAATCTGAAAACGAGCTGCTTAAATAACACAATCTAGTATTTCACTGTGCAAACATTATGTGTTTTTATCAATTCGAAATGGGTCTTTAAATAGTGTTATTATCAACAATTTTAACTTTTATTATCATAATAAATCTGATTTGCAAAACTTCATCAGTGTAATATACACATTGTAACATTTATAAACACTCTTGAGAAACATGTACAAGTTTACTATATCAAAGTATTTCACCTTTGTATCTCATTTTAAACAAGTTAGTCACGTGCGTGTTAACCTACCAGTCATCCAGGGATATAGTACAATGATAAACTTTATCATGTCTCAAAAAATACAATCGTGCATTTATACTCTTCATAATTTGAATTTTAAAGATAAACCAATTTCCGTGACTTTATTGTTTGTGCCAGGCTTTTATTTACATTAGTGCAAAATTATTGTGAAATAAAACAGATTGTGTTACAAATTGAAATTCACATACGCAACCGTTTTTCAATTACTACGTATGCAAAGGTGATAAGTTTTCTATTGCTTTCACAGACATACAAATTGATTTTCTTCCTATGGAGCTGTATTGTCTGTGTATAGCAGGTTAATTTTGTCCAATTAACTGAGAACAGGGGGATTTCTATGATCATGTGATACGCAACTTCTTCAGGCTCGTTGAGAAGGTTCGTATAAGAAATTTAAATTTTGTGAAAAATAAGTAACCGTAAATTTTGATAAAAACATCACCTCTATATATTTCCATTGTTCAATTCATACGTAAGTAGAAAGCTTGGCGATCATCACGGTAACGTCAAGTTGTATGTACTAAAGAAAAGTTCGGGATCGGGCATTGTGGGATAATGTAGCACGCCACATTAATCGAATGGCCAGGGAGGATTTTAGGATATAGTGACTGTTCTGGAATTAAATGACTGGTTGTCTTTTAAATGGAATTTAAGCCCGAAATTTATCTTTGTGATTTCTAATATGATCACTTGTAAATTCGAAAACTTAGTGTGGACCTAATAACATAAATTGCTCTTTATTTGTAGACACGAAATGTAAATCTTCTTCTGGTCAGGGTTCGGTCGCTAACCATGATTTTCATTTTTAAAAAAGACGGTTTGATTAGAAATTTGTGCAGATTTTCGAAGTAAAACAGCGTCACGATTCTTACAACAAAGACAGAAACAAGCGTCTCTGTAGACTTATACAGCGTCTAAATGAAACAGATCGATACATGTAACAACTTGCACAGAAACATGTAATAAACACAAATTTGGAGAAATTAACATTTCACCATACTTCAACAAATAAAGGCACCCGTGTGCCAATCCTGGCGCAAATAAAATTCAAATATGGAGCATATTTTTAATTCATAGCTATTCATAAAATCGATAGAGTACATATGAAGAACTCACATAAAGCGAAAATTAAAGTATGAGGTGTAATTCTATAATAAAATCGTGTTATAAATTCCTATCAATTCCTTGCTGATTGTGGCGCCGTTATATGTCGCAACGCCGCTAAATGTCGTACTTTCCGCTAAATGTCGCACCATTGACGCTAAATATCGCAACCGCCGCTAAATGTCGCAAAACCATTTGACGTGAAATGTCGCAATGTTAACGTTAAATGTCGCACGAATTTCCCTTACCGTTAAATGTCGCAACACTACCGTTAAATGTCGCAAGATGTAATTTTATGTTGAACTCAAGTTTTATTGTTGGATCATATTAATTAAATCTGCCTACTCAATTTGAAAGCGAGTGAATTTATTATATATGGAACTGCGCTACAATTTAGGCGGCATCTTGTAAATAAATGTATATTGTTTTGCGTTCGATTTTTAGCTGATCTTATACAAGTACATTGTACATATTGATATAATTGTCTACTATTTGTATGAAACTGCAAAATTGGCATTGTTCTGTAAATAGTTTAGTACAATTGTGTCTGTAAAATGGCAGAAGAGACAGGCTGCCTGGGGTGGCAGTCTGATGGCCTAGTTGACTGAGGAGGCAAATTGTCTCGCTGTCGGAAGAGGAAGCCTAAATCGCTAACGACCTGGACCTTAAGAGTTTGCCTAACGCCCTGTAAACCTAACGTTGGTAGCCTAGTATCCTGAGGAGGTCGCCTAACATCCCAACAGCCTATCGATGTCAGCTTTGCAACCTGAAGTTGGCAATCTAACAGCTTAAAGTCGGCAGCTAGTAGCTTAAAGTTAGTAACTTATATTATAAATATGGAAACAATTCAGAATACAGTAAAATCACTATGAAAGGTCATGCAAAAGCACATACACATGCATGAATATGGGAAAAAACGCCTTTACCTTTAGGGCACTTAACTTTGTAGTCTTATAGCCTAAAGCTGGCAGTCTAGGAGCCTGGCAGCCCAAAATTGGTGTCATGTTTTAAAAAATGGAACGATCAAAATAATAAAACGGCAAGTTGGATTTTTCCTAAAATCTACTTGTACAAAGGGCTTCATAATTTACACATTTATTAATCAATACAATAAAGTTGATCATGGCAAGTTACATAATTATTGCATAATTTTTAATCAAGTTATTGCCATTTTCAACAGTTTGAAAATGAATATCGTTAACCTAAACCAGCAAGTTGTATTTATTTAAGTTCTGTCTATACTTATATATTCATAATTTCCACACTTACTTATTTAGAAAAAGTTCATGATTTTGCCATCCATTTTCCCCAAGTTATATTCCTTTTTTTCACTTTGAAAATAGGACCTTGTATGGTTAACCTATTCCGGTAAGTTGGATTTATCTTAAAAATTTATTTAATGATATCTTCCATATCTGGTAGGTGAAAACCATTAATGGCCGTGTATTTTTTATGGAGTAAGGGGTCTCTAGAGTCAAGGTCACTGGTGTGAATTTTTTATAACATTTTTGCTCATTAAGCCTTTATTGTTAAGATTATGTATTTCATGTTTAATACAAACATGCCAAGGGAGGTCCTCTTCCTTTGGGTTTAATTGGGGGTCCTGTGGGTAAAGGCCAAAGTCACCAATGCCCAAATAGATTTAAACATTTTTACAGGTGTTTTAACGTTATTCTTTTGAAAGATGTCTTTTATATTTGGTAGAAGCATGGAATTGAGGTATTCTCCTTTGGATGGAATTATGGTTCAGTTGGGTCAAGGTCACCAGTTCTAAATAGATTTCTACACTTTTACAGCCTTTATTTCAATGTGGCCATACCACGTGACTTTTCGGGTACGGAACACGCCGATTTTTCACCCGATTCAGGTATGTTTTTTATTCACAACTTATTTATTACTCAACCGATTTTGATCAGATAAGGCGCAGAGTACCCGTAATTATATCAGTTATCCACGGTATATCAAAATTCTGAAAACCCCTGAATGGTTTTTGAGAACATTCGAGTACAGTTTTCTTTTCATAGCCTGGGCCGAGGGGAACGGTACACACTCATTTGTCATAACAAGCAATTTCTAGCAAGTCATATGTTTTTTGACACTATTTCATAGAAAAATACATGTTAAATCTGATATATTTACTATGTCCAATGTATCGAGTGAATGTAGTGATGTTTTAGCAAATTTTCATAAAGTTATGTTGAAATGGTACGGAACACACAGTTATTTCAAAAGATACGGTACACACACAATTTCTGTCTGTAATAATTCTAAAATAAAATATATCAACATTTTATTTAAATTATAATGCCAGTGATTTTTTTCATAGTTATACATTTTATTAATTTAAACGAGAACCCAGGGACCTGTTTTGCAATGTATCATAATGCTTACTTTTAATGTTTATATGTATTTGTGCACTATATTTCAAGAGATCACGCTTAACATTTACAACCTCCATGTAATTGTCCTATTTAAAATCACCTAGGGTATGTTAAACACTTCGATCTTCACAGAATCAGGTAGTTGCGCTCTATA